TAAATAAATACATACATACATACATACATACATACATACATACATACATACATACATACATACATACATACATATAATCTCCCTCTATATCTCTCTAAAAAAATATCTGAAGTTGAAATTATACAATGTAGCACAGAGAGCTTAAATCAAACATCTATCTGTCAGGTTTAATAGAAGCCTAATCTCACAGAGAGATGTTTCATCCTTCAAATAGGACAATTGCTCAGAAAAAAAGAACCCCCAAACATGTACTCTGTAGTGCTGTGGGTCTTTCAAAAATTATAGTTAAGAAAAAGAATATTTGGTATAATGGACTAATGGGAAGAATTGAACCCAGTCCCGGCCGGTGCTCATTAGAAACAGGTGGGATAGATTTGGGCACTTCTGACTTTCAAAAGATTTTCTTGGAGACTTCCTTGTGGAGGAAAAAACAGAATAATAGAGTTGGGACTTGGAAGGGACCTTGGAGGTCTTCTAATACAACCCCCTGCTCAAGCAGGAATCCTTATACCATTAAAGACAAAACCTCCAGTACTGGAGCACCCACAACTTCTGGAGGCAAATCATTCCACCGATTAACAGTCCTACTGTCAGGAAAGTTGTTCTTGGTTTTCTCCTTGATTAGTTTTTATCCACTGCTTCTTATTCTGTCCTATGTTTGTTATTCCCTTGTTTTCCATTTTGTGATGGTGGAGGAGACATTTATAACTTCAGGACCCCCACTTCTCTCTTTCTCCCCCTCTTTCCTCAGCATGCTGTTCACAATTCCTGTCTCTAGGTATTATTTAAAATGCCTTTTCTGCCCCCTGCTGGAAATAGTGCCACATTTTGGTGACTTAGCGCTTTTAAATTTAGTTCTTATTTAGATAGAAGCTTTTACATTAGCGCATCAGTTTTCAGTCAGACAGTTGAGCTCACCAATGGGATCCAGCATAGTGTAAAGGTGTGAGGGAGTGGCAAACCATTATGGCATTATCACCACATGAATATATGACCAAGACTTTAAGAAGCTTCTTCTAAAATGTGTATGTTGATCAAAGAACTAAAAAGGCGAAGTACAAGAAATAATGGATGCTATTACTAAAAGATCTTGGAAGACTTTTTGTCTCTTGTCTGCTGAAAACACTTAACTTGAACTTTCAATATGCCAGTCACTGATAGACATTATACCATCAAAGGAATCCTGCAACACGCATGCTTTGTATGCTAAAACTGTAGGCATTTGGCATGGAAAGCCTGTAGCACTTGGATGTTGTGGAACTTGTAATTTCTAGCATACATCACAACTGGCTATGGTGGTTAGGACTGCTGAGAGCTACAGTATAATTCATCAACATCTGGAGAGACACATGTTTTCCCATTGCCGTAAATCTTCAGGGCAATGTCATAAGAAATTTTGATCAGGACTGATAAAGAGGATGGGAATGTCCATTGATGGGTGGGTAAGAAGACAGAAGAAAAAGGACTATGCTTCCTTACCTCTGCCCTGCTGATACAAATTCTTTAAATCTGTACACTTCAATGGGAAGCTCTTTTTTTGGCAGTTTTTGAATAAATTCCAGATATTTTTCACCAATCTTGTAAGGCTTGCAGAATTCAGTCAAGTTCTGGTATCCTACAGGGATCCGTTCTGCTTGAGCTTGCTGGAGCTTGAACATCCTCAAGGACACCTGTAGATAGACACATACAAAATGAATACATTTCCTTGAATGTAGAATTATTGTTAAAATTTGGAGAATCTATTACAAATTTCCCTACTTACCTTTCAGTAGTAACAGTTTGAAAATTCAACCAGTCTCAGTTATGAATGCATTAAATTGACTTAAATAGGCTACCCCTATTTAATAACTGTTGAAGTGAGAGAAGTGAGAATGTACTCTCCCATTTCTCACTCTGTCTTTGGAAAATGAAGTTGGGAAGTGAAGGAGGAAATCAAGAGAAACATCTAATCATAAATCACAAACTTACCCTCACCAGCATTTCATCTCCTTGATACATTAGCTTGCGAATGTGAGAGATAATTCTCTCTCTGACTTTTTTCAGTTCGAGACAACGATTGTTGGATTCAGAAACACAGCTTCTATATACGACTTCTGATTCCTGAACCTGTGTGCAAAAAATAAAAATGGATGAAAGGAATGGGAAAACTGACTTGGCTATACCAATAGATGAAATACTTCACAGTGGGGATATCAGTAAGAACTGATAGGAATGCCACTTATGCGCCAGAGATGGGTTCCTATCAGTTCGCACCTATTCGGTAGAACCGGTTCGTCAAATCTACCAAACCGGTTAGAAGAGGTTCCACCAGTGGACCCGGAAAGCAGGCCACACCTACAGAAGAGTTCCAAATTTTTTTGAAACCCACCACTGGTCCTTGGATATGATTATTCTACACTATCATGCTCATATTTATAAAACTCAGCACCTCTGTGAAAGGTAAGGATGACTACTGCATTTGTAGTGCAATCAGAACATTGCGTGTGTTGAAGTTGTTTTAACGCAAACCAAAGATGCCTTTTAAAAACCAAGTTTACATCATATTTTTATGCATGCCAGTGCTGTGTGTGAGGTAATTTAAGGTGGTTCTGACAAGTGTCGTCAGTATTTTCATATCCAGTCACATGGGTGGCAAGCCACTTCCATCCGGTCACATGGGCAGGAAGCCACTCCCACAAAGGAGGCCACACCCACAGAGTAGGTCCGAACAATTTTTGAAACCCACCACTGTTATGCGCCCAAAATAAGGAAGCATCTATATTGTATAATTTATTTTAGGATTGTTGTGCTAGCTAAACAAACGAACAGCTTGATCTCACATAGTGTGAAATTCATTGTTTTCTACTGGATTAAAAGCCGCATGTTCTCTTACTTGTGAGGATACTACACTTGATCTTAGCCAAAAGGCCGAGAAGCAATTGTGAGCAATTCATTGCTTTCTCTACCATTTATTTATATAACTATTCTAATAGCTCATCCAACACAAAAGACTCTGAGCAGGTTACAACATATTCACATTATAAAGACCACAACAAAAAGAAAATCAATGGTGTTAAAAACAACAACTGTAATCAGAAAGTAATACTGATCACACTTATACATATTCCACAGTGCTTTACAGCCCTCTCTAAGCGGTTTACAGAGTCAGTATGTTGCTCCCAATAATCTGCATCCTCATTTTACCCACCTTGGAAGGATGGAAGTCTGAGGCAACCTTGAGCCTGGTGAGATTCGAACTGCCAACTGTAGGCAGCTGGCAGTCAGCAGGAGTAGCCTGCAGTACTGCACTCTAACCACTGCGCTGCCGTGGCTCATAAATCTTAAAATGTTAATCCTGGAGGTAATCCTAAAATGGGTGCCAGTAAAACTTGAACTGGGGTTTGAAGACCCAGTAAAATAAAATTTGACTTAAAAAGGAGCTTTACAGACCTCCAGGAATGAAGAGAACGAAACTCCATATTTCCTATCATAGGATTAGAAAGGGCTCTATAGAGGCCCCAAATCCACTTGAATTCCCAAATTGCCATTCACAATTACAGATTAAGTGGCCGGTACATTCACATCAATTTTAACAGGTTCATAAGTGTGGAGAAACTTCAGTGAAGGAGGCAAAATACTGATCTGATAGTATCTATAGAGATTCTCAGTCATCTTGGTCATGGTTGTCTCAAAACTGGACTACTTTTTTTTCCTTTAAGACAGTGTTTCTCAACCTTGGCAACTTGAAGATGTCCGGACTTCAACTCCCAGAATTCCCCAGCCAGCATTTAGAGTCT